GGGGGATCCGAGCGGCTCTCGCACTTGAATTGCTTGAAGTTACGCTGCGGAGCGTGACTGCGGATTAGCTGGGAGTAGACGGACCCGCACGTCTTCAGGGGTGTGTGTCTGTTCAGGTTACGGGCTCTTTCAGCAAGGAAATCCAGGGGATAAGCAAAGGTTAAAGTGTACCTGCCTGGGAAACAGAAGACACTATGTTAATTTCACTTAACTGTGGAAAGAGAGAAAAATCACTTCCTCCCACACATTAAAGACAAAAATAGCCCAAGAAGTCTTTGTACAAGCCGATACGCATGCAAACAGTCTGTTAGATTATTTTTCGGTGTAAAAACTGAGTATATAAATAGTATGTAAACCGGAAAGTTCATAGTACTATTTTTTAATTTGGTTGTGCAGTTTATATGTCAATTCTGAAGTACAAGTGTATTCTTTTAATATATGTGAGTACTCCCAATAACAGCTATGAAATCGGTGAGGTTATTTTTATTCTCTGAGCCAATCATGTGTGCAAGATGGTGAAGCACTAACGTGTTATAGAAAAGAATAATAATAAGAAGAAGAGGCATCCTAGACCTGCTGACTTCGAAAGACCAAAGCTGCAAAGATTTTTTTAAGAATTTAACCTGCGGACAGGTAATGAACAACAGTGCACAAATATGCAAAAATGAGTGTGCACACTCTTTTCATATTGAAACCTCAAAACTTAATTCTCAGTCCTTTAATTTAATGATTCCTTGGGACTGATTTTGCAGGATTACATATATCATCTGCATTTCACATTTCTTGTAATGAACTGTGGCTTAATGCATGTGACTATGTTTCCCCTAGTGGTTTATTCTAATCACTGCATGATTTTTTGCTTAACCAAAGTGGAAGACCTTGTTCTTGGATATGAAGGTCTTGAGTTCATTCTCATCAGAGGAACGTAGTTGTTGTGTGTATGTCTATACATGGTATATTGGAGAGAGAGAGAAATCTTTATATATATGCATGACATGTTAGAGTAGCAGTTCCAGGGACATGAGACCCTTCTGAGGCAGTCGGGAAGTTTTCTGCAACATCCTGAAATTGTCTCACAAGATTTTACTTGATTTAATTCTTCAGACCCAAGACCTGACATTTTTTTTCTCCTTTTTCTTTGTAGCAGAAAAGAAAGTTTATTTGTAAGGAACTGATTCTCACAAGGGAATGAAAGTGAATTTGCTGACTTTCAGAACATTTTGTGCATTATCTCATGAGTTAATGCAAGGACATAAAGATATTGATTTTACACATCCTGAAAGGACTATATTTGGCTACACACTGCTTCTAATGCCCAGTATTTCCTTAGAAACTTAAATCTTCAATTGATTGTCTTTCATGTTTGTAACTCTAAAAAAAAAAAAGTAACATACATAAGAGAACTACAGGATTTTTTTTTTAAAGTAATTTGTGATAAACTGTGAAGCTTTTTGCCTACTGATACTTCACTGAGATTCTCAAGGCAAACAAGGACACTTAGGCATGTCCTACAGAGAAATGGAGAAGTCAAACTCACTGTACGATGAAATGTTTGATACTTTATATGAAGAAAATTATGTCTGTGATTCAGATCAGTTTTGCTTTTGTGACTTGCACTGTAAGTTGCCAGAAGGAAACTTAAGAATTCCTTAAGAGGGGAAAATGGATATAGGTAATACATCCATTGAGCTACTGGGAACCAATTCCAGTGGGACAAAGAGTAGCACTTTTATATGTGAGAAGGGCCTAAAGTAGAATAAGTAACTGCAACTCTGTCTTGGAACACACATGCTCTGCTTCTCCTGGGATATGGCCTCCTGGTTTTAAGGAAGCCCAAACCTTCTGGGATTAAGCTACTGTTATGCAGATCCAGCTCATCATCAGCACCCTCCTTAAAGATGATATAGGCCAGATCCTGTGTAAGTTCATACCATCTGATGATCACCCCAGTATATACAGAGGGACCAATGCTAGGAGCGTATTTTCTTGTTGAATATCAAATACATTTATGCAAACTTAAAAAATAAAAAAATCTGTTTCCTGATCCTTCTGAAATTATACTAAAGAATATGCACCTTTAGTGTTTATAATCTAACACGTAGAACTTTTGCATATAAATTGTTCTAATAAAGCTAGTGTGCTTTTTGATATCCCATTCAATATTATTTGATTATATTTGTATCCTTGATAAAATCAGCATGGGTTTTGGGAATTTAGCTTTATAAACCCTTCCAGCTTATACTGTTCATTTTATAATTTGTTCTTTCTTCTCAAAGACCTTCAGACCAAATGTTCAAAAGTGGGACAATTTGGCGTGGACAGGACTAAGTGCAGTTTACTTGCTAAACTGGTATTATAGCAAGCTTTTTATGGTCTATTTGTTTGCCTGAGGGTTTTCCCCCTAAAATTGTCAACTGCTTTGGTAGAAGTAATCAAGAGAATGACAGCACAGAGAAGCCATGTCTGTTAGCATTTTATGTACTGCGCTGTCTAGCCTCATTTCAGCCAGACATTAGATAACACTGGGCTGAACTATACTAGAATTTTGTGTGAACTAACTGATTGCCTATTAAAATATAAGTAAAGGCCAGTTTGGAAATTCCCAAAACATTTTGTAGCATGAGGCAGAGACATTTGTGTATTGACCTAGGATTAAAGTGACTGGTCACAGTTAGCAGTTACGTGAAATTTTGAGTGGGATAAGAAGGTTCTATGAAAAGGTGTACCACATCTCTACTGTGGTACAGTTTGCTGCTGTAGTTTTCAACCTTTTTTTCAGTTTGTAGACTTTTTCCATATTTTGGAAGAGAAAAAAGAAAAATTCTAAGGAAATTCTACAGACCTCTTTGGAAAATTATGAATTATAAGACCTCCCATTTAGAGACAGTCTGTAGGAATCCATAGATCACAG